TTTATTAAATGAAGAATACACATTGACTACATTCGAATAATTGCTTACACTTCACAAATGCAAAAACTTTTAATCCATTATAGTATTCTTCATATCTCTATGTCAACGAAAAAAAAAGATCTTTGAAAACTGCAAAGCCTTTTTTTCCCTTAAAAAAGCCTTCATTGGCTATGTGTGATGGCTCATGCCTGTAATCCCAACAACTAGGGAATCTGAGATGAGAGGATCAGTTGAGGTCAGGAGTTCAAGACCAGCCTGGGCAACACACAGAGACACCATCTTTATAAAACTAAAAAAAAAAAAAAAAAAATTTAAAGCCCTTGTTTATGGCTTGCACGTGATTTTACACCACAATACAAAAAGCCAGTACAAATAAAATGGAACTAAAAGCTTCAAATATTCTCCCTAAAGCTTCTCTGGCTTAATATTTATCTTAGATGTATCCATAGACCATTTTCAATGTCTTCCACTTTTATATTGTTCAATGATTTTCTGAATAGCTTTATTAAATTATAACATTTATTCTAGAACATTCTCACAGTTACTTCATTTTTATAAGCTAGCTAACAATGAATCAATGAACTTTCACATGGAAAGAAAAAAATACTCTGAATGATCTATCCTTATCGTTGATTCACTTGTTCCTAGGAATTTTACTCAAACTGCAATCATTAAATAGTTCTTTATAGAGCAGACGTGAAGATCACGGTTAAAACACAATGATTTCATCTTAAATCATACAGCAATTCAATTAAGAAGAATATCAGAAAGAAGACAACAGTCAGTAAGATCACCGAAAGCCTACTGAAAACACTGCTGAAGGAGGGAAAGCAGAGAAAGAGCCAAAGGGATAAGCCATAAGCACTACATCTTCTGTGAAATGGAACTGGATGATCAAAAACAATTAGAAACGAACTCAGAAACGTACTTAGTTCCCCAACAGCCTAACCTCTTGTCTATAGTACATTCAAGAAAAAGCACAGGACATGAAAATTGATCAACTTAGCTATCACACTTAGGTATGATTTGATGGGAAAGATTGAAAAAAAAAAATACTAACAATAAATTTTTTTTTTTTTTGGAATGGAGTCTCACTCTATTGCCCAGGCTGGAGGGTAGTGGCGCCATTTTGGCTCTCTACAACCTCTGCCTTCCGGGTTCAAGTGATTCTCCTGCCTCAGCCTCCGAAGTAGCTGGGATAACAGGTGCCCACCACCACACCCAGCTAATTTTTTTTGTAAGTTGGCCAAGCTGGTCTTGAACTCCTGACCTCAAGTGATCCGCCCGCCTCGGCCTCCCAAAGTGCTGGAATTATAGGCATAAACCACCATGCTCGGCCAACAATAAATTTTCACCCCAGGCTCTCCTTTTTTCCTCTTCAGTAGGGCTGGATACTGTTTACCCTCAAGAGTAAATAGCATTCCAGATCTTCTCTACAGACTCTAAATTTCCTTCCTTTATTTCTGAGTGAATGAAAATCCCATTTTGAAGGCCCTTATTTTTATTTCTCTCTTCATTACTCCATGGGTAGAAAAGAAAAAAAAACAAAGAGAATGACACCTTCATTCCTACCCTTACAATATGCCTATTTACCAATCGTTGCAAACAACTCAAATGAATACAAGTAATACTCCAAGATCATTTCTCTCTGTGAGGACACAGGAACACACACAAATAAATGGAAATATATATAACCATATTTTATTAAGTCTGAAGGAACATTGAAATTTCTAATATTGAATCCAATCCCATTAAATTGAAAGCAATTACTGCTTCCAATTTAATAAAAATGGATTAAATTACATTTCTGATTCAATATAATTTGTAGTGTCCATGACAGGAAAAGTGATAGTATGAAGATCTTATCCAAGACATGTCAAGATGATGCAGACTGGACTTGACAGCCACCTAAATAGAATTCTACTGAAAACTCAAGGGATTCACACACATACTACATTTATTTAACCTTTGGAATATACTTTAATATTTATTCTAACTTAAAGACAAAAAGAGTACAATTACTTCCATATTATATTAAATATACTTGTTTTTACTTGTTCACGAATGCACACAAAAAACACCCAAATTATTACTCTGTGCCAGGTATCATATCTAATAATGACTATAACACTAAAACACAAAGTTGACCACTTTACATATACTGACTCATTTAATCTTCAGAAAGGACTACCACTGTCATCTTCATTTAATAAGGATGCTAAGATACACAGATATTATCAAATTTATAACGCTAATTAATGGTAGTAGCTGGCTTTACAGCCTGGCTTAATATTAATAGCTAGCTATAGTCTGGGTTTTTTTTTTTTTTTTTTTTTTGAGATGGAGTCTTATGCTGTCACCCTTGCTGGAGTGCAGTGGCATGATCTCAGCTCACTGCAACCTCCACCTCCTGCATTCAAGTGATTCTTGTGCCTCAGCCTCCCAAGTGGCTGGAATTTCAGGCACGTACCACCAAGCCCAGCTGGTTTTTTTTATTTTTAGTATAGACAGGTTTCCCCATGTTGGCCAGGCTGGTCTTGAACTCCTGACCTAAGGTGATCCACCCACCTCAGCCTCCCAAAGTGCTGGGATTATAAGCGTGAGCCACTGCGCTCGGCCTACAGTCTGTTCCTAACAACTAAGCAACAGTGTCTCTGACATGTCAAAAGTAACTCGCACATCATTTAAAAAAGTGTAAAACAGTTAAATTATCTTAACGTAGGAACTAGCTGAGATGTCACTCTAAGCCAGCAGAAATAAGCTAATGGCAGCAGGGCTAAGCAGAGTTGCATTTTATGCAAGGAGTTTCAATCTAAAATGATCCAATTAGGTAAAAATCATGGGTAGCCACAACTCTTACCAAAAAAAGCCCTTAATCAACCATAAAAATAATACATACATGGATTAGTGTACTTAATACTTTGAAAGTTCTTAGAAACTCAAATTTGACAATGACCAAGCTACAATAAAAGGGGCAAAAGCAAAGTCTCTGCAAATACTGAGAAATGCAAATCACTTCCTCCTTAACCATCAAACACATGTTGCTAAAGTAGGAACTGGGGGCAAATTTTTAAACGCAATTACTGCATTCCATTCTGTTATTAAGCCTCTTTAACCATAATATATGTTAATAGACTTGAAGACTAATAAGCTATACAAGTTGCATAGTATGCAAAGGTTAGTTTTCAGTGACTCTGAAAGCAATGTAGTATTTAAAGGTAACAAATGTTTGTCCTCAAATTCAAAAACTCCCACCTTCATATATGGACAAAGAGGACAAGTACCAGATTCTAGGACAAGCACAGTGAGGGCAACAGAGCAATGAAGGTGTCAAGCAGTAAGCCAGTGACTGAATAATTTCACATCTGGTCTCCGGCACACATACTGCAGTCGGACATCTGCACAAGATCATACTGCCTCTGAAAGGGCCAATTTGTCCAATATTTACATAAATACTACTAAAAAATCTTAGAAAAATATCAATCAGAAAAAACAAAGTGTAAGCTAATTTAATGACTTCTAATAATTGTAAGTACATTTGTAACATGAAATTCACTTTTCATATAAAATACCGTAACTGCAGTGATCACATAATACAATATTGCCATCTCTTGCCCAATAGCTAAAAATACATCATGTCTTTAATCCAAACCCATGACAATTTTAAATTGAAGGCCAAAAAGAGCCAACATTACATGTTCAACTGTTAACATCTCGGAAATTTTTTCTCCCCAAAATTAAAGAAGATAATACCAAAAATAGATTTTTAAATGAAGCTTTCATGGTAATTTATCATCTGCCCATTTCCTTAAAAAAGAAAATTAAAATTTAAACACAGGCTATTTCTAAATGAATTATCCCAAAAATATTTCATAAATCTCTTAGGGTGATGTGAATTATTAATCAATTATGCAAATGTCAAGATTCTGAAAATCTGGGTACATGTTTATCTGTCTCATAAAAATTCTAAAATATTATAAATATAAAATGTTTTAAATAATTCAGTACCATAATGCCAGTAATTCTGAAAAGGCTAGGCATTGTAACACACTTCAGCACTCCAGAGCAGTTTATTCACAAAAATTAATACAATTACACTCAAAGTATTATTTCTTACATGCTACAAAAAGTGCAAACCAGACATTCAGTCACCTGAAAAGGTCAGGCCAAAGGTTGAACAGGATGAAAAATGATCTTTAAGTTCACAAGAAAGACAAAAAAAAAAATTAACTTTTACCACATCTTTACTAGTGGCAAAATTGAGAACAAGAACTTATAAACGTTATCAAAATACTTAAATTGCCACGAGAGTTATTAAATTTTACTGGGCATTCATTTTGGGCATAATACCAGGGGAAGAAAAACTAGGACTTAGAACCAAAACATTTTAGAATTCACAACAGTGAATAGGATTTTTCCTTAATCCCTTTGGAAGGTAAAGATTATAATCAACCATACAAGTTCACTCTCAAATATAAGAAAAATATCGCTTAAAAATTTTTTTTAAGGATGACACTATTTGATTTGTGTAAATGACATAAATTTAGTACAATATCAAAATTAATACCACACAGTAGTCTGTTGGTTCAAAAACACTTAGTTTTGTGCTTCATAAAATAACACAAAAAAGAAATTCCTGAACCAAGATGGAAAAATATCAGAAACTAAGTATTTCTGTGCTCCATTTTAAAAAGGAAAAAAAAAATTTAGAGATCAAAGAAATCATCATGCAACTATTGCATAACACAGTAATAAAGAGTATTAAACATCCTTTTAAAATATATAAGGGCCGGGCACAGTGGCTCACGTCTGTCATCTCAGCATTTCAGGAGGCCGAGGCAGTGGAATGGTTGAGCTCAGGAGTTCAAGACCAGCCTGGGCAACAGAGTGAAACCCTATCTACCAAAAATACAAAAAAATTATATTTTTAAAATAAAACACCATTTTGTAATGTTATATTCCACTAAAGCACTGTAAAACTTACACAAATTTTTTTTTTTTTTTTTTTTTTTTTAACATGAATAATGGAAGCACTGTGCATTGTACTAACTAATGCCTTCATAACAGATATAGAAAGGAAGCTGTTCAAACTTCTCCAGATGGCGGTGACATTTTTTCAGCTTGATTTGGTAACACGACTGTGACCTTCAGACAGCATAAATATGTGTGCCATCACATGTGTAATTTCTTACAGACCAAGCTTGGTTCTTCTCCAATGTCTCCTTTTGGAGTTGTACCTGATTTTATTACCAGTTTTCATCCGAAACCACTGGGGAATGGGACGATTTTGCTTTTGTTTCTTGGCCAGGAATCGCTTAATCTTGAAAGTCTTGTGAGAAGACATGGTGAGAATCAGAGTAAAGCACACACCACGACGGCGGAGAAAGGATTTTTTTTTGCTTTTTTTTTGAGACGGAGTTTCACTCTTGTCACCTAGGCGGGAGTGCAATGGCGCGATCTCGGCTCACCGCAACCTCCGCCTCCTGGGTTCAAGCAATTCTCCTGCCTCAGCCTCCCGAGTAGCTGGGACTACAGGCACGCGCCACCATATCCAGCTAATTTTTATATTATTAGTAGAGACGGGGTTTCACCATGCTGACCAGGATGGTCTCGATCTCTTGACCTCGTGACCCACCCACCTCGGCCTCCCAAAGTGCTGGGATTACAGGCGTAAGCCACCGTGCCCAGCCGAAAATTCTTAACATATACAACTTAAGCTGTAGAAACTTAAACAGAGAATCCTACTCAGTTTTTATAATATAAAACATAATTCCATATGTTATGAAAAGCCATTTTCTTCCATTTCTCAGTCACCTTGGAATCATTTTAAAATAAGAGCAACCTCCCTATAAGATCTTATAGGTAAAATAGGTAAATTATCCTTGGTAAATCTAATGCAAATTATACTTCAGGCTTTTTAAATTTTTAAAGCAAAATGTATAGAAAAACTACTGGTCACAACACGACAATTAATCTGTACAATATCCTTACCACAGTGCTGTACTTAAGACATGTATATGTCTTAAGTACATTTACTTTAGCTCCATTTTCAGTGACATAACACTGTAACACTTCAAGATATATTTATCCCTGGGCTACATAAGCAATAGTGATAGTTTTCCAGAAAATTATGCATAACACATGGCAATTAATTATTATGTATCAATGGCCTCTCCAATAGTAGCATTTAAGAGCCTAGTACATAAATGGTTTTCCAATCAGATTTGTCCACATCGTTCCAAAGGATGGAGTCACTCATTAATACAAAAACTTTGCACACATATAGCGCAAACAACATGCCCTAATTCTCTCAGGTTGACTTTCAGTCCACTCTTCAATGCAATTTCCACTCTTAAAAATATATTTTAATGCCCTTAAATTGCTGCTTAACTTCCACAACTTCGACCAACACATCCTTGACCTTGTCACCATTACCAATCTATTTTCCTCAACAACATGGAAATGTGGTGTGAAGAACAAATCTTCTTAACTCAATTCCTTCTTAGATCACAAAGGGATTTTTGTCTGGCTTAGGCTAGCCATTCCAGAATTCCAAGTATAGGATTCCCAAATTTCATTCACCTATAACACAAGGTCTGGTCAAAAAGAGTCTGTCTAGTTCATGCATTTACTGTTTCAACCTCAATTGTGTATTATACATACCACACTGCCGTGTGCCCAGAAATCTCATTTTACCTTTAGATATCTCCAAATTAATTTATTGCCCCAGATCCTAATATTGTGAGCTGTTTTATTTTTGTTGTCCGGGCAGATAAAAGGTAGGGAAGCTACCAAACCTGTTTAAGATTTCCATCTCTCCCTCCTTGAAAGCTGAGTCCCTTAGAGAGAACTGACAGAAAGAATACAGCTCAGTGATCCAATAACCACTGTCATCCCTGCCACAATTGGTATTTCGCTTTTATTTTGTTGGGAGTTACCCCCCCTTAAAAACATCTATTTCTATTACCCCTGTGCTGTCAGCTCTTCACATAAAGGCAGCTTTGAATAAAATTCTCTCAACTTTCTACATGAAGTAATAGTGGCAAAAATGGTAGAAAAATATTAGGACTTAATAATCTCAGTTCATGGAAATAACCTAACATAAGCACATTTCCAGAGGAAGAAAAGGTGAGAGTGAATTACTGGCAAGTTAATGATGTACCTTTTTCTTTTTTTAGACAGAGTCTCACTCACTGTCATCCACACTGGAGTGCAGTGGAACAATCTCAGTTCACTGCAATCTCCGCTTCTCAGGTTCAAGCAATTCTCATGCCTCAGCCTCCAGAGTACCTGGAATTTCAGGCATGCACCATCATGCCCGGCTAATTTTTGTATTTTTAGTACAGACAGGGTTTCATCTTGTTGGCCAGGCTGATCTCAAACTCCTGACCTCAGGTAATCCGCCCACCTCAGGCTCCCAAAGTGCTGGGATTAGAGGCATAAACCACTGTGCCCAGCCATGTTAACGATGTACTTTTAAATAATGATCTTGAGACTACAGTTTTGCAATACTATATATATTTATATTCAATATATATGCATATATATACATGTATATAGTAAGAGTTTGGAAAATTATCTGAAAATATCCACAAGATGGACATTTTACAGATCAGCAAAAATAGTTTCCATTTTAATGTATGAAAGGCTTTGTTTCTCCGTATACATTTCTATGTTTAACTTCCAAGCCTTAGAATAATGCTAAGATTCAACTCTATCTATAAGCTGATGAGGTTCACACCTTGCACTACAGACACCGCACATGATCAGACTACAATTTATTTGCACTGTAATTCCAGATGGACTTCAGAACCTTAAGCTATTAATAAAAGACAGAATCACTGGCTAGAGAATAATGACTTTTGGCAAGAAAACCCTGGGTTACATGTTTTTTTAGAGTTCTATTCAACATATAACTAAACACTTCACTGTAAATACTTATTAATTATACATATAATTTTAAGTCAAAAACTTTAATGTCAGAATGTTTTTAAATCATTTGTGTAAAGCCTAAGTTAGCGTTTTGTTCTTCCTTTATCTTCAGGTACAAGCTATATAAAATTAACAATAGATCTAAAAGTATGTTACAAACTGTAAGATACTATAAGAATGTAAATAATACCAGTGATGGAAAAGGAGCAAGAAAGGTAGATTAAAAAGGTATGTGTAGAAAGTATAAGTTAACAGCCCTATACTAAGATAGTTGATGATTCTTTCATTGAATTCTACTAGAAGTTCAAAACATATCCTACTGAGGTTCCACTATGTCGATGGCTTTATACTTAACGATTAAGGCGGCAGGAATGGACCAGGCAGCACGCTGCTGACACTGTTATCTATAACTAAACAAAACAGCTTACTTCCTTCTTTTTTTTTTTTTTTGAGACAGCGTTTCACTCTTATTGCCCAGGCTGGAGTGCAGCGGCGTAATCTCAGTTCACCTTCACTTCTGCCACCCCAGGTTCAAACTATTCTCCTGCCTCAGCCTCCTTAGTAGCTGGGATTACAGGCATGCACTATAAGACCTGGCTAATTTTTTTTATTTTTAGTAGGGACAGGGTTTCACCATGTTGGCCAGGCTGGTCTCAAACTCCTGACCTCAGGTGATCCACCCATCTCGGCCTCCCAAAGTGCAAGGGTTACAGGCATGAGCCACCGCACCGGCCAAGAAACAGCTTACTTTCAAATCCCAACTCATCACTGAAATTTAAAAACTGAGCATGTTCCTGTGGTATAGACTGCAGTGGGACATATTCCCCTCTCTTCCCTCCAAAAAAAGGATAAAGGCTTCTAATAAGGGTTACATATTTTAAAACTCTGGCCGGGCATAGCAGCTCATGCCTGTAATCCCAGCACTTTGGGAGGCCCAGGTGGGTGGATCACCTGAGGTCAGGAGTTCGAGACCAGCCTACCCAACATGGTGAAACCCCATCTCCACTTAAAAAAA